CGAAACAAACAAACTGATTTAGCGAGGGAATCAGCCGGATCTGAAGGAATCCCCTCGCCCCCCTCAGCGCCCATTCACAGAAGCCCAGCCCCGCAAAAATCTGCATGATGCTGAGACAAATCTCAAGAGGCTGGGCATGCCCTGGAGGAGGAGCAGCCCGAGTGGGCAAAACCGCTTGTATTGCTGCATTCATTCAGAGTCCGCAGATCGTCGGGAGTCGATTATTCAATTGAGGTGGAAGTCCGTTCCTCGTTTCCCTTCCTGAACGTTGTTTCGCACCTTTGGTATACGTCGTCCCCCTCGGCCTCGACGCGGTCGCAAGGCCTTCTATTGACGACGTTTGCTTGATGAACCTGATGCGTGCGTCATCCGAATATCGCAAGCCTCTCTCCAATTCCATCCGTGTTTGCCGGTGCCCAGTGTCTGGATATTCCTGTCGCACATCGCAAGTCATGTACCCGGCCGACTGAGCCTGCGCAACCGTTCCCTTTGCAGTCTGTGGCAATCAACTGTTTCGAACACTCTAGATAACCATGTGTACGTATGACCTTTTGTGTTGCTGTCTCACGCAAGAATAGGCGCTTACCCGCAGCACAGCCGCACAGGACTTCGGCGTTGTTGCGATTGTCTTGCCCAACCCAGATTACGACCCCTCCAATGGAGCCCGCATTGTCAATGTATGAAACATCAAGACATCGTACCAGACTTCCAAAAGATGACTCTGCTAATACTTGAAAGGACTCACTTGGCTTTGCACTGAGAGCTTCGGGTCTCATTCGCACCCTATCGCCCAACAATCCTCATCATTACGATGTCATACAAGGCCTTCTATATACTCCCGCTCTTCCGGCGTCCAGTCCTTGTGACAACTCCACCAGATCCCTGATTCCACTTAATGCCACGACACGGGCAGAAATACCTCCGGGCGACTTTCCATTGATTGCGTTGGCACCATGGACGGAGCCTGAGTGCGTTTTCTCCTACCTCTCTGTCATGCGGTCCGATCAGGTCCGAGGAGCAATATTTTTTCAGCCTGGGGCCTCGAATTCGCAACCTCCTCCCGTCAGCGATCGCTCCTGGACACTTCGTGACGGTGGACAATGGAAGTCCAACAATGAGTATCCAGTATATGCCGTACCTGGGATGCTGGGAGCTTTCCTTCTGGATGAACTAGCACTATACTCGGGAAACATGTCAGAGGTCCCATTTGGTAGTGAGCTGGTGGAAATTTACGACCCTCACGATACTGTCAGGCTGTATGCAAGAATGGACGTCAACTCTACCAGCGGCATACCTTCGCTATGGGTGTTTTTAATCATCGTCTTGGCTATCCTTCTGGCCGTGGTCCTGATGACTTCGATCGTCATGCACATGATTCAACGACGACAACGACGCATCCTCCAGCGCCGAGTGGCAAATGGAGAGGTCGATCTGGAGGCCCTGGGAATCAAGAGGCTGCAAGTGCCACAAGAGCTAATTGACAAAATGCCAAAGTACACGTACCATGCCAGGTCGGAGCCAAATAGCGTCAATGGTGACGGGCCAAACGAATCTGTCGAGCAGGAAACGGTTGAAACAGTCAAACCGAAGGTGGACAAATCGATGCACACTGACGCAAAAGACGCTGATAGTGCAATCGCCCCAGCAATTGTGGTCCGCCCAGTTGCGTTCTCTCAGTCGACTTGTCCAATCTGTCTGGACGACTTCATCAGTGGAGAGACCAGCGTTCGCGAACTGCCTTGTAACCATGTCTTCCATCCGGAGTGCATCGATTCGTTCCTCCGCGACAACAGCTCATTATGTCCCCTGTGCAAGAAATCATCACTTCCACCAGGATACTGTCCCGTCCAAGTCACGAACCTCATGGTCAGGCGGGAGAGACTCATGCGGAGGATGCGGGCGCGAGCAGGTGCACAAGAAGATCCAGCGATAAGCATCCCGATGACTCGACTTCCTGCCCCGGTTCTTGCGCTAGCCGGCCGCTCCCTTCGGGGCATGACGATGCCGATCGTCTCTCCTCAAATTCCCCTGGATCAGGCCAGGAGTGCCAGTGCGCCCATAGAGGATGCATCACCCGCTCGCAGGCGAAGTACAGCGGAAGAAGAGGTCCCTGCTGAGATTCGAGCCCAGGGCGTATCCGCGAGGAGAGCGTGGTTACGTGAACGGCTGGCGCGTAGAGAAGCTCGCAGTTATGAACAGCGGGCTGATCAAGGTCGGGTGGCTGAGGAGTCAAGACCTCTCTGTAAGTATTTCAATCTACACCCCAAACCCACAGGAACTGTCGCTGACTCATGGTCCAGGGCGCCGTGTTGCTGGTCGATTGTTCCCCAGTCTTTGATGAGGTGATGATGTTCGGGCCATATACCCTTTTGGTAGATTTGTTGCATAGCGATTGGCGTTTGTACAGTATCTTTACGTTGGCACCGGGAGGGACATGCGTCGATATATGATAGGATGGTTGGAAAAACGCACGGGTAATGAGTGTTTATGTGAATGATGTTCTGGTCACATGTCCGTTTCAGGTTGAATACGCAAAGTCTGTCGTAGCTTCGTGGTCACATTTGTGATAGGGCCAACGATGTATATCAACTGGCAAACTTATCATGTTTCCCTTTGACTCTGACGTCCAGGACCTCCTCGTAGAAATTCCCTTCCTTCTTAGCCTTTTTCAAGCGCTTCACTTCGTGCTCCTCCAGTCTTCGCCCGACCGCTTGTTCGAGCTCCCTCCGGCTGACCTTTTCCTTTGCTTTTGTCTCTTTATTCTGCTGCAGTCGTGGCTTGAAGCGGGCCTGCATTTTGAAGACGAGATGGGTCGATTCCGAAGAAGCCTCGCCGTCTCCACGAAGTGAAATGTTGATTGTTTTTGCATTAGTCTGCTTCGTCTCTGTGACGGCGCATAGATATCGCCTGCCCTTGTCCCCGTCTTCGGACTTTGACGCCGCCGTCCGCAGCCGCCATCTCGTTTTGCCATCTGCAGCGTTATCCACGGTCTCAGCTACGAATCCCTCCTCGACGCCTCTGGCCTCTCTCTTCGCACCCAGCACGCCCACCGAGTCACAGCTCAGATACCCGCCATGGCTCCCCTTGAAGCTCAATTCTCCCTTTGACAAACCCGCCACGGAACTCGCGACCCAGACCTGTCGCACGTCATGAGGCTCTGCGGTTTCAGCCACGCCCTCGACGATATTTTCTAGGGGCGAGGCAAAGACGTTGCCGTGCGCGTCGGTGGCGAGAGCAGTGGGTGGAGTTGTGGAGAGAACAAGCACGACGGGGCCGGAGAGGTCGCTGGGCTCGTCGGGGGTGGTCCAGGAGTCATCGTCGGAGGGATCGACCGCAGGTTGGCCGCCGGCGTTCTGGACGTCGTCGACATCTTCGTCGTGACGGTGCTTGCGCTTCTTGGGCTTCTTGTCGCCCTTGAATGTGAGAGGTTTGATGGGCATGGCGCGAGAACTCTGGGTGTTCTGGTCGTTGCGCAGTATGTCCTTGTAGGCAGACAACTAGCTGAGTAGATCAGGAAAAATAATGGCCGCGAATGCGGTTCTCAGGGTTGGTTATGCGGGGACGGGCTGGTGTTGTGTCTGAAGGGTGTTTCGCGTGCAATCAAATCAGAGGGGGGCGAGGCTGAAGGGCAGCCTCGCCAAGGGAAATAGTGTCTCTTAACAGTGAACTGTCGTCCTCATGCGAAATCGAGTCGAAGGACTTTGATCTCATAATATTATCTGCATGGTGTCTTATTTCAGCCGCCAATTAGTGACGTCAGCATTGATGTGGTGAGTTTAGCAGAACTCGACTTCACATCTCGTCGATGCTTTCAATTTTCAAGGTTCGAGCGAATGTGTCTAGTCTGATCCTTTTCTCTCCTCTCTACCTCGCTGATCGATGTCGCTTCCATGCTAGGACAAAATGGCCCTTGGCTTTGATTGAGAATGAATGTCCGGCAACTGCTCTGCTTGATCAGTGGTAGTATAGAATGTGGCGAGACAACATGACGAGAGACGGTTTAGAGAGTTCAACCATAAGCGTCGGCGTCTTGTTCCTTTATTTTGGGTAGACGATTCCTCGCCCTATTCATTGCTGCCTCTGTCCCCCAGCCTGCCCAGGAAGTATCTCTACTTACACCCCATACAAGCACTCTCTACTCGAATGAGAGACTAGCCAATATTCCCAAGACCGATCGGCGTTCTACTCATGTGAATGCCAGAGATCCCTGTTTGGGACGAAGAGGCGGAAGCGTTCCCGTTATTTGGCATCTTGCTGGAATTTCTTTTGGCGGTATGCAACAGAAATGTCAGTTGCGTAGCTTATGTGTCACGTGGTAAATGCTACCCGACAATGGTTTAGTGGCCCTATCAACACTCCCTGTGATGATCTGTAATGGCGCAGCCCAAACTTTCCATTCTCTCTACTCGCGTGTTCACCTCCCATTCTGACGAAGGTGATCGATCTCACGGCAGTCAATTCTCGCCGCAGCGTGTTCTGCCACCATGTATCCCATTTACTCCCTTGACAATGCGATCAACAGCTTCTTTAAAACTCAACCAACCGTGACACGGCAACAATGCGATGAATTTGCTGTCTCTCTTGTTGGTGAACCTGTCATTCCTGCACCTATTCAGGGTGCATTCAGCTATACTGTCATAGCAGGAGCCAAGCAATCCAGGATCGTGCAATTTCGGGCTCAGAACTCAGTCCTAAACATGGTGATCTTGAATCTGGCTAAAGCAATTTATGGACAATTTGTAGGAGCCTGCACCCATCACGGAAATATTGGCCGCTCATTACCACTTTCTGTCTACGTGATTGAAAAGCTTCCTGGAATTGCCTATATTCAAGCGCGATGCCTGTATGGTCTTTCCACTAACCCGTCGTTAGAATTAGCTTCACGACAGTCCAACACAGTGGTGGATTTAGCGAGGTACATTATACCTGTACTACTACTTCAGGATGAACTAAATTTATGGGATAGATTCTTCGCAGCGTCGTGGAAGCATAGGCAAACAATGCCCTGCAATGTCATCGAAGCCATCAATCACGATTATGAGCAGAAATTCGACCTCCTTTCTCAAGCCTTGCCCTCCCGATTCACAGAGAACCTGAGACGAGTTCGTGCTGAACTTTCATTGCTCTTTACATCGACACATCCTTTGGTCCTGAGTCATGATGACCTTTGCGAGATGAATATCTTTGTGGATCCCAACACTGGGCATGTCACTGGGATTATCGACTGGGCAGAGGCTAGCATCCTTCCTTTCGGCATTTCTTTATGGGCTTTCGAGAACATACTTGGCTATATGGATTCCCAGGGATGGCACTATTACAATAACCGTGACAAACTCGAGGACTTGTTCTGGCAAACTTTTGAGGAGGCTGTTGGTGGAATCTCGGAGACAGATAGGCAAGCCATCCGTGTGGCGAGAATGGCTGGCTTCTTCTTGCGTTACGGTTTCGTGTGGGAAGATGGAGTGAGAGAAATACCTGCGAAGGAGTCGGATTCCGACCTGAGATATCTCGATGCGTTCTGCACGACTGGTGACAACCCCCTCTAGCGGCGCGAGCCGGCACGAGCCGGTGCTAGCTTTGGAAAGTCTGATGGTTCAATATAGATATCGAATCTATGCCTCAAGATGAAATGAGCCGTATTTGCTGAAAGATAGACAATATCCTACACGAATAATGATATCCCACGATCATTATCGCCGACCAATTGCTTGGGTTAACCCGATTAGCCACCCTTAAATGAGATCCTCGCTTTTCAACAATGACTTCAGCGCTGCCAGGTCTGGGAGCGGTTTTCCGCCGCACTGGGTGGAACCATCCTTCCCGAGATAAACATCTTCAACGCCCAACACCTTGCTAACATCACCCACGGGGAAATCGAGGTAGATGGATCGCGCCTTGTTATTCCAATCGGGACTCGGTGAGGCCTGAGCCTGCTCCGCGGGCGCCTCTGACTTCTGTAGCTTTCCAAGTCTCCTTCGTTGTGTGGTTTGTACAAGTAGGGACGGCCGCGTCGAGACGGGCAGTAGATGACTGAGGTGGTTTTTCGATTCCGTGTTCCTTAGATGGCGACATCGGAATTGGACCTCATCGCCTCTGGTCTTATAGGGGCGATGGTAATGGATATTATTTTACCCGAGGGATAGTCGCTGACTAAGGAGAGATCGGCTTTAGACCTACGTAGCTCTCCACAATCTCTCTCTTTCTCATCCATGTTGATACCTTCTCTCCGGAATCAATATTATTTTTTGTCTCGAAGTCTAGGGCACGCCACTACCAATAGCGCATCTCTCATCTCTTCTTTTTGGGAAATGTCGCACGTCAGCATCTTCCACATGAAGATCACCTGATGGCAGCCTTGGCCCGAGACCATGTGATGTCACGCGCTCAATTATCCTCCTTTCAATATTGATGGAGAGAGTTGTCGTGTCCCGCCCAAGGAGCTGCGGTTGGAGCTAAAAATGAAAAAAGTTAAGAGGTCATTGTGTCTTGTACTTGTTCAGCTAGGTATTCCGCAATCTTCTCGCGCAGCACATCTGGGGTAAGTTGAGTCTGGTGAGGATCGGATGATCCGCCTTGTCTTGTCTCGTCGTCGGTGTGACTCAATGACGGACGATGAAAAGTCTCAATGATCGATGTTATTATTTCTCGCAAGGGTCATCCCAGTGTTGGATTGGTATCCAGGTCTTTCGACAGCAGAAATTGAAAACATCACGTATCCACATCATCGAATCAAATACCAGACATTGTCCCAGTGGAACAGAAAACACCCAACACAACAACACTTACATACTCATATAGTCTCACACATTTTGAGTCAAACGCTATGAGTCGACTATCATTATCACCATCCGACATCCTCCTCTACGTACTCGCCCTCTTCCTCCCTCCAGCGGCGGTATATCTCAAGACGGGGTTCAACGGAGACTTCATCATCAACATCTTACTGTGTATATTATGGTGGTTCCCAGGCGTCATTCATGCCTGGTGGATTCTCTACAGATACGACAGGTCATGGGCAGAAGAGGAATCATATATCCTCAAGCAAACGAGGTGAGGGGATCGGTTTTCTGGTGAGGACGCGCTCCTTTTGTGCGTTTGACACTTGGTTTCTCGTCTACTCGTGGACAAGTTGGGGGCCGTTCGACATGGACGGAGCATTATAATACTTGGGTGGGAGCTGTGTCTATGAAGACCGGCTTAGGGTTACCAAAGGCTTCAAAGGGGTGAGGAGAATATTGGGTCTTGTAAATATGGCACTCGAGGTGTGAGAGTATTATTTCCCTCGACGGCACCAGCATAGACCATTGAAAGCAGCCCTAGGAGAAAATACTTGCGAAGAGTTCAGGTGGAGCTGCATCTCGGCAAGATTAAAGATCCATTCGCCAGGTAGTTTCGACTGCAAAGTTGTGCAACAAGATACCCGCATACTACAAATTTCACAAGCACAATTCGTGATCAAGTGGACTCTTTCCCGCAGTTCTAGAATGAAGTCGACGACTTGTCCGGCGAAGCCTCAGTAGCCTCTGATCTTGCCGATCCTTGAGTGTCATGGGCGATCAATCCTCCCCTCACTTTCTCAAAGAAGCGGGGAGCCAGAGAACCTGCGTCGGCTCATGAGGATTTGGAACCAGCTACATGGTCAGGACGTCCTCTGTTGTCGAACTACACAGAATTGACAAAGCGCACGATACCACGGCACAATAGCGGGGGATAGAGAAAATGGTCACAGTAAAGAAATACCATCTCCCACCAACCTCGCTCGTTCCTAATTCGCCACATCCCCTCCTCCACTACCCTGGTCTCCTGTCATCCACGAACACGACCGACGAGAGCATCGCAACCAAGGCCCACGACCTCTTCGCGGCGAACGGGTGGGAAACGCAATGGATCTTCCGCTACGGCCCATCGCAGCGATCGCACTACCACTCCGCAGTGCATGAGTGCATGGCCGTGCTGACAGGGACGGCGACGATCCGGTTCGGGGTCGCCGACACCGTCGCCGACCTGGACGAGAGCACCTACGGATCCGGCAGGGAGGAGGGCGGCATCGAAGTCGAAGCGCGGGCGGGGGATGTGTTCATCCTGCCCGCCGGCACGGCGCACAAGACATTCAACACGTCCCCGGCCGCGGAGTTCACGCTCCTCACGCCCGGGGATGGACATGCGGTGGCCGGGCAAGGGAGCAGCACCAAGGACACGTTGGCCGGCATCGAGCTCACCGGCTTCACCATGATCGGGGCGTATCCCAAGGGCGGAGGTCACTGGGACTTTGCAAAGGGTGGTGAGGACGTGGGGAGGTTCGACAAGGTGTGGTCTGTGCCGAAGCCAGAGAATGATCCTGTGCTGGGTAAAGCAGAGGAAGGGCTTTGTGGGCAGTGGCATTGAATTTTTCTATCTTTGGCGATTTTTCCTACTTCTTTTTCTCTCACATGACTCCTTGTCGTTGTCTTTTGTCTTTTCTCTTTCATTGCTCGTAGCTATGTCTCCTACATAGCTATCTTGAGTGACCACCCCCTGCATGATTCGAATCTGCGTACCAATCAACCACCACTCATCTGCCCGCAAGTGTGCTGTATAAGGTCAAGGGTTGTCGGTCGTAGTTTGGCGATGGGGTTGATAGGCCCGAATAGCTTCGTTTGTACTTTGTACAAGAATATACGAGGTACAGGTACCAAGTCTGCGCAAATCAATGTCCGGTTTCGGTGCCTCAGGAGGGGTGGGGGGGCCACTTGGGGGCAACAAGAAAGATTTGATCATCAGATAATCGGCCGATGGCAACAGCAAAATCTAATCTTATCCCGTCATAAGATTGATAAGCCTCGTCAAGAAAAAGACCAACAAGACGCTACCAAGTCGGCTATTTCTTTTGTGGTTCTCGTGGCCCTCGTGGCTCTTGAGCTTCCCATTGACAAGCAGGGCAAGCTATCCATTCCGCAACTCAAAATCCCGACATCGGGTCCATTGGGAGCCATTGGGCCATGGTTGGTGCATTATTGGTAGCAAACTATTTGTGCGCCTCCCAGAACCCATGACAGCAGAGTTGCAACCGTGCCATGAGGGGAGGGGCCCTCGCTTGCGAATTTTCATGCTGGCTTTGCTGCTTGGGGGTTGCAGCTTGCGCTCCATGTGAAAAAGGTAAGTGAGGAAGATCTGCAGGGCACATCAGCTAGAAGCTCCCTCTTCCCTTTTGCCTTTTTTTCCCTCAGTCTCTACCATTCCCCGCCGTCTGTGGTTGTTTTCACCCAAACACAATGCCAGTATTTCCAAAGCTCAGGCCTGGATTCCGTCGAACCACCACTGAAGATGTGGTCACTCCTGTCCCCATGACCCCGGCGGGGAGAGATGAGAAAGATGCAGCGACAGACAACATCGAGGCCAACACAACAACAACCACCACCAACATCAATGACGAGGACCTGAAGGAAGAGGGTCTTGACGAAACTGCCCAGAGAGGTGTCCAGGATGTCCAGGCCGTCACCCTGACCTGGTCCAAGAGATCTCTCGTCGCCGTCTTCATCCTGTATGTTTGACTGACCTTGCCAGCGATGTCTCGGTGACTCGGTAGATACTCAGAGAGTGCTCTGGGCTGACTGTTTCCTCGTCAGGATGTTCCTCCTCTACTTCGTCAATGCCTTTCAGTCGTCGATCCTGTATAACTTGGTTCCCTTCGCCACGAGCTCTTTCGAGACGCACTCCCTATTGACCGTCATTTACATTGTCGCCAACTCGATGAGTGCCGCAATCTACATTCCTCTGGCCAAGATGCTTGACATCTGGGGTCGTGCCGAAGGGTTCCTTCTCATGGTCGCCTTTGCCACACTGGGTTTGATCTTGATGGCTTCTGGCAGCGGTCTGTCCACATTTTGCGCAGCACAGGTACGCGAAGCACCCATCATGCGGAGGAGTCAGCTTCTGGATGAGGGTCACACGAGGCTGACCACGAGACGATCTTGTAGGTGTTCTACTCCATTGGGTTCGGGGGCTTGATATACAGCATCGACGTGATCACGGCCGATGCGTCCAAGCTGAAGAATCGAGGGTTGGCGTACGCATTCACCTCGTCGCCATACATGATCACTGCATTCGCCGGTCCCAAAGCCTCGGACGACTTCTACTACAACCTCAGCTGGCGATGGGGGTTCGGCTGCTTTGCCATCATCTTGCCGTTCGTGGCGGCGCCGCTGTACATCATTCTGAAGCTCAACCTGCGCAAAGCCGCGAAGCAGGGCCTTCTCGCCAGAGAGCGCAGTGGCCGGACATTGACGCAAAACATTTGGCACTATGTTCAAGAATTTGATGGTATGTGGCTGATTCGGCCTGCCCGATCCAATTCCCAACACGTCATGTATACCTTTGACTGACACTCTTTCGTTCCTATTCGCTACGAAACAGCTCCTGGAGTGATTCTCTTCGCGGGCGGGCTGACGGTCTTCTTGCTGCCGTTCACTCTGGCCGACTCTGCGCCCAACGGGTGGGCCACGGACTACATCATCGCCATGATCGTGGTCGGGTTCGTGGTGCTCGCGGCGTTTGGACTGTACGAGGCGTACATTGCGCCGGCGCCGTTCCTGCACGTCAACCTGCTGGCCAACCGGACGGTGGTGGGCGCGTGTCTGCTCGACTTCACGTACCAGGTGTCGTACTACTGCTGGAACAGCTACTTCACGTCGTTCCTGCAGGTGGTCAACGACCTGACGCTGGCCGAGGCCGGGTACGTGGGCAGCACGTTCGACGTCGTGTCCGGGGTGCTGCTGCTGTTCGTGGGCCTCCTGATCCGCCGCACGGGCTACTTCAAGTGGCTGCTCTTCGTGGCCGTGCCTCTGTACATCATGGCACAAGGCTGATGATCCACTTCCGCCGCCCCGACAGCGGCATCGGGTACATCGTCATGTGCCAGATCCTGATCGCGGTGGGCGGGGCCATCTTCATCATCGTGCAGCAGATCGCGATCCTCGCGGCCGCCGACCACCAGCACGTCGCCGCCGTGCTGGCCCTGCTGTACGTGGTCGGCAACGTCGGCGGCGCCGTCGGCAACACCATCTCCGGCGCCATCTGGACAAACACCTTTGCCGACGCCCTCGCCCGCTACCTCCCCGCCGACATCTCCCCGACCGACCTCGCAGACATCTACAACAGCCTCGACGTCCAGCTGAGCTACGCGAAGGGCTCCCCCGAGCGCCGCGGCATCCAGCACGCCTACGGCTACGCCCAGGCCCGCATGCTCGCCGTCGGCACCGGCATCATGGGTCTGTCGCTCATCTGGATGTTCATGATCCGGAACATCAACGTGAAAAAGGTCGCCCAGGTCAGGGGCACGGTCTTTTGATCTCTATCTTTCCTCCCCGAAAGAGCGTCATGGTTGGTACGTACCTAGGTAGGTAGGTAGTGTTGGGTAGTGTGATGGGTAGGGAGGGTAGGATACCAATGGAACATGAGGAAAATCAAAGCGTTTTTGCTGGAAATATTTTTTCCCATGACGCCAATGGACGGTCGAGATAGTCCATGTTCCATATGAGGTGGTACATATGGGAAACAGCAAAGCAAGACAAAAGGGTGATTAGGTCTACTGTAGGTATTGATACCCAGCTGGGCAGTAGTGATACTACCCAAATGCATATGTGTCGCCATCCATCATTCGTCATTGTCTCCCAAATCCCTTGGTTTCTTGGTTTCATACTATTAGGTATCATGTCACACCTCGAACTCGATCTTCTCTCCCCTTCGTCGACCATTCCTCAATCTAAACAGGGTCTTTCGCTCCAAATCTACAGTGCAAGTGGACATACATAGTTCCGAAATCTAGCTTTACGGATCCCCTCTGCGCCTTTCGAGGAATGGATCAAGGGGACCCGGTTGGTTTTGTAAGCGTACTCTCCAAGGTGGTCTATTGAGTTGTCCTGCCCTGGCCCCATGAAATAAAGTCTTGGTTCGAAGGAGAAGCTGTAGGCGGCGAGGACCCAGGCTGGGTCCAAAGCGAGGGAGAATCCATCCGTGGAGGAGCAGAGGTCGAGTGGCTGGCATTCGAGGGGGATTGATCTGGGGGAGGTTTCACAGCTCCGACAAAGGTCCTCCTTCCTTCCGAGTATGACCAGGAGGTACATTTTGACCTCGCCAGAAAGCCCTAGCACCAGTCCATCCGTCGTCGTTGTGCGCAGCCTCCAGACGGGCTCGGCGAACCGGATCTGATGCTGAGCCGTACACCGTAGTGCTTGTTGTATAGAAACCAAGCAAGCTGCCGTGAAATGACACGAGGTGACTTATCGGTCACCGTTCGCCGGGCCATGTAGTAGGAGGACAGTCTTCTCCAATGTACAATCAATGCGCGTTGATTTAGAGAGGACGTTTTCCATGACAGAGGTCAAACTCAAGGTGGTCTAACTATGAGATGTTGATTCGGAGCATGAAAGGCCGGTTGCAGAGCCATGAGCGACCTCTATTTGATCTTGCCATCGTTACATCCGGATACCCAACGCAGGACTTCTAGGGCCATCCGGCTTTTTTCCAAAGCAGCTCCTTTCAGCTCAGGGCCAGGGCTGAGCTCGGAAATAACGACCAAGATGGCATTTCTTGCTATACCTCATGACTTCGCGGCTGAGCTGTTCAAGTCCTTGTCCAGAGAGATGTTGCCTTCGGAAGAAACAGTGGCTTCACGAGCCTTCCGTTCCAGTTCTCGTTTCTCTCGAGCCCGTCTAGCTTGTTGCCGCCGGATGTTGACGGGTTGATATACCTCGTTGAAATTCATGACAACTCCCAGAAATCTCAGATCGACGTCCGGTTGGTGTGCCAAATCATACAACAGCATGCTGAGCCGCGATCGAAAATCGGCCGATAGATGCAACTGTCGTGCCCTCAGAGAATTCAGATGAGTTTCGTCGTCCCCAATGTGTATATTTTCATTGGGTGTAGCAAGTGATGAATCATTCTCTTCGACGAGGAGTTGATTGCCCCTGAGAGCTCCTGCACCTGCTACGGAGGTGGGTGTGCTGGCCCTCGAATCACCAAGGAGATCCTTTTCGGTGATACCCCATTTCCCCTGAGCAGTTCGTCGCTCTATCTTCGCACTGAACTGTTGACGTCGAGTATACTCTGCAACACTGTACGAGTAGAGCGAGTCAATGACTTCTCGATAGGCAAGCATGCATTTCAGGATGTGGTGGACTTGGACAATAAGGCTGTCCTCTTGCTGGCCTGTTACCGGGTGCCTTTGCTGCCCGATTAACCCCTTTTTCGTAATGTTGTTCAGGTAATTGGTGTGAGCTTCGATTAGATCGTCGAGGGTGGCTTCCGGCTTGTGCAAAGCCTCTTCGAGCTTCTTCCAACTGGCCTCAATGACCTCAAACAAAAGATAATACTGAAGCTGATTAACGAAATGAACCATCTCTGCGACAACACATCTCGACCGTTTCCAATCGTTGCCCAGTTTGTCACTAACTGCAGCAAGGACTCCTCGACCGCCCGTCATGCATCGTTTGCAGGTCGAGCTGAGGGAATACTCGACCCGTTTGATTCTCCAGAGCAGGTTAAATATCTTGAGATACTGCGTGTTGGCCCATTGAGTAATGACAACGTCACACGGGGCACTGATTTTGTATTCCAGGGTGAAACAGTCCCAGCCGATCTCTCCGCTCGACAATTCAAGCATTCGGGCATCCAATCGTCGCAGCACTTCAGCGTCGTCATACTGGGCGTTGGAGTGCCGTATGGCATGTTCCAGTTGCGACGTAAGGTTGTGTCGGTACATTGAATTCACGGGACGATCGAGATGTTGAGCCAACGACTCGATGAGGAGTTCAAAGAAGTCACCCTGGGCCAGCAACATATACTTCTTTATTGCCGTCAAGTGTGTGAAGAGTCCAAATTTCGTCGACATCAGATGCGTCAATCGCGACATTGTCGTTCGGTAGGCCACATCGATTGACTGTGCGAGATTGGCCGTGTTTGCATAGTCGAGTGACTTTGAATTTGATTTGGAATATTTGATGACCCAGTCCGAGTCTCCGCAGTTGTTGCGAATGAAGTTGAGAGATTTGCCAATCAAGAAGACCTTTCTGGAGAACTCGGACGATATGATCGACGGTACCATGCCTGAGTCGAGCTTGTATTTCTCTTCCCACACGGAAGTCGCAACGTGTCTATGATCGACCGGAGGTTGCGCAGTTGGATCGGGCTGTGTTATGAAGAATTCGTGGTATGGGTCAATCAATTCTCCATCATAGATCCAATGCCTGAGCATCTCATAAAACGGACGTGCAACATGTGCCAGAAGCTTTTCGGCAAATGACGCCACAAAGGGGTCGCCATGGGACGAGGACAAGTTGTGTATGAGAGATAGCACTTGCCCTCCTCGCTTCTGCCTCGAGTCCTCGACAATCAGCTTCATCAATCGAAGGGCCATGGTGGCATCTCTTGTCCAAATCAGACATCGCTTCAACGTGACACCAGTGAGGCGCACCACTTTCGGGTCTCTCGAATTCTGAATAGAGGCCAAAGCTTGTCGAACCTCGGTCTCCAACGAGGCGACCAGGCTCAAGTAGGAGCGTAGCTCATTGTTGATGGCGGAACGAAGGCTCTGATCAATGAGACCTCCGTCCTGACCTGCAGCATACTCTGCCAATCCCCGATAGAGCAGACAAGGCTCTGCGAGTGCATGGAGGAGTGAAAGAATGGGAACCGGCAGACTAGGGGGCAGTTTGAGAGAGCCATTGTCTGCGAATTGAAGATGTGCAGATGACACACCTTGTAGATTGAACGGCAAGTCACGCAGCAGATCTAATTCCGAAGGATAGATGACTCGAGGCTCCTGCTTCTGCGCGGGAGGTTTCTCTTCAACTGGTTCTTGAGTCTGTAATTGTTCCTCCTCTTTCACGGCCGGTTCAATCTGTTCATTGGCTTTTCGGGATCTGGTTGACAAGGCACGATGGCCACGGGTCGTCGACACCTTCGGCGGTTCCGGCTCTTCTTCTCCTTCTTCATTATCATAATCTTCTTCTAGCTCCTCCTCCGCCGTAAAAGTGGTTTCGGGGGACAAGGTGCGTCGCCGTGGAATATTTGCGAGTTGCTCCGAGTCCGCAAGAGGGTTTCGAGGACGCTCAGGAAGAGACTTGTCCGACAGCTTGTAGAGGAGATACAAAATGGCCCATTTCTGGTTGAGAACGGGAATGGCGAGTAGTCTGGAATACAAATTGCTGAACCTGGCCGCTTTCTCTGGAGAGGCATTCTCTCGCAACAACTTGCGCTTGATCAAGTCTTGCGCCTGATTGGTATCTGGGGGCAGTCTGCCATCGGCCCCGAGAACGGTCTCTTTTGCATACCGAATAGCGCGTTCAATGCGGAACTCGGTATCAGTGTCGTCTTGGTCGGAAGAAAGGGCTGGAACAAGGCTTTCAAGGAGAGAGGTCAAGGTGCCCTCGATGCGGTTTAATCGTGGGTCCGCCATTGGCAGTGCGAAGAGGATGAGACCCGGGGCGCATGACAAGGTGCCTGCGTCAAGGCCGCACTGACATAGAGAGAAATCGGGCAGTGTCTAGACAAGATTTCTCGCAATGCATCTCAGTCCGTTGAACAGATTAACGCGGGGTGGTTTTTGGGATAGTGGCTTTACGTGCGCCAGCGTGTGTTTTCGCATCACCAGTACCGAGTAGACGCGTCTGTGGCTGCTGGTGTGGCGGTCCCTCGTCACATCTGTGGCTGGTAAGGGCTAATTACAAGGCTGGGTAATCACCGTCTTAGAGGGGCTTAGTTTACGAGTGGTTCTGGCAGCGAGGCGGCGAGGCGCGTACCTGCTGTGCAACCACATTATTAGCTGATTAGGTACTCGGTACCGCAAGGAGCACCTTTAGCGAGGTCTCCCCGGGCGCCTCAACGTTACCCGAGAGCCTATCAGTGCCTAATTCTTATCGAGCGTAACCTCCTGATGGAAACCTGAAAGACGTGACTTCCTCCACGTACCGAGTACAATTATCCAACTTTCAAGTGCTTCGATTCGTCTCGTGTCGCTACTTGCCCGGTTACAGGTGACAATTCTGGCATACGACATTGTATAGCGTCGGTCCTTCACATCTCTTTCCCCCGATTTCTTCAAAGCTTCCGAGACGCGCCCTGATTATTAGTCTTACATGTTTCAGCACCGCGTCGATACATTTCTTGAAACGAGCAAAAACACTCGCCGTTCTCACCCCATTTTCAGCCTTTCAACTCCTTGTAACTTCTCCTAACACCAATCCTCCGGCGAAACACGCTCGATCAGACGCCTCCACCCACTCAACGGGAAGGACGAGCCTAAAGATGCAAGACTACCGACGATCATCTCGCCGCATCTGTTCCAGA